TTGCTGCACGAGTAGAAGTAGATCTTTTTTTTTTTTGAACATATTACAATTATTTACAGATTAATTGAGAGATAGAGAAAAAGATTTTCATGAGATTCAAACATATAATCCACAGAAGGTAAACGATACTAACTTAGCATCCAATGTACCACAAGCTAAGCATTAGGTGGTAAAGGAAAAAAGTCAAAGGAAAGACTACACGTGGTCTAGGATCTAGGGTAAAGTACATGAAAAGGATAAGACTTAGGCTATAAAACCTAGAATCTCATACCCAACTCATAATCAAAATTTTGCATGTGATAATTATTGGAGACGCATTAGGCAATATTTCTTGGAAAATATATTCAAATGAGAAAAATGAATTGTAGGGAGATCTTTTGTGAAAATATCACTCGAGTTTCTTACTCAAGTATCCATCCCTAAGGTGTAAATGTAACTATTCTACAATGTTATATGGTTGAGTTCTAAAACTTTTAATAAACATGTAGCTATTATAATTTCTTTTTAATGGCCAGCAATGCTTGTGGTTATCTTGATCAATAGTACATGTGATAATTTAATAGTTTAATGCTTAATGTTATGAACAATTGATATGTGATTAATGCAATATTTGTATATAGCTAATTTGTGATTATTATTTTTAAATGATAAAAATAATGAATAAATATGTGCATGTAAAAAATGGGTTTATAAAAAATTTGAGAACCTAACTAAAAAAATTAAAGAAAAGAGTTACCCATTTATGAAAGTGAAAGTGATGTATTTGAATGACCTAGTGAAGATTTTGTGGGTGTTGTTTAGAAAAGAGATTAAACTTTTTGCACCCATTGTACCACAAACTAAGCCTTTGGTAAAGAAAAAAAAGTTGAAAAAAAGATTAGGTGCATAATCTAGGGTTTCGTGTACATGGAGGAAATAACACTTGGCCTAAAAAGCCTAAAATCTCATACGAGGATACTTAACTCATAATTCGAATTTTTACAGGCAATAATTCTTAGAGATTGATATCAAGTAATATTTCTTGAAAAATGGGTTCGCATGAAAAAAATGAATCATAGAGAAATCATTTATGAAGGTATATTACTCAAGTTTCCTAAAGTGTAAATGTAAGTATCATACAATGTTACATGATTGAGATCTAAAATTCTTAGTAAACTTGTAGTTTGTATTGAGTGGTGTGTTCGAGTTGTAGGGGCACTATTATTGAATTTTATTTACGTAGGTATCACAATGAAGTTGTTTTTGTAAAAATTGGATACTGTAAGGACAGGTCCGAGGTGCCAAGCCTCGGACTGCTACAGTAATTCCTTTATGACCGAAGTGAGGAATAAATCCAAAGCTTCCCGCTCAAAAAGTTGCATGACAGTAACAATAAGCAGGCCCGCACCTGATTCCTTATGACGAGTGGCACAGTAAGCATGGTGGACGCTCGTGCATCTGAATACCTCTCAAATTCCCGGTCCCGGAATAATCGTCTGGATGGACACGTCAAGCTCCGATTATCTTGCTTGGCATGCCACGTGGGTACCTTATTGGATCCTATAAATACCCCCCCGAGCCACGTCAAAAAGGTGATTGAAACCAACCCTAAGCTCTTTTTATCTCCGCCTTTAAGGTAGCCCCGATTATTGCTGACTTAAGCATCGGAGTGTCTACCCCGAGTTCCACCTCGGGGCTTTGCAGGTCATCTCGGAGTACAAGCGCGGACTGAAGAAGGACTTCTGGTTTGGTGCAATTACATTGGCGCCGTCTGTGGGAATCGAACTGAAAGCTTTCTAGTTGCTCTTTCATCATGGTTCACACTTGATCAGTCAGAGCTGGTAATTCATCTTTGCCTCATGGGCAAAGTCAACCCCCCACCAACCTTCCACCCCTGATCCCACCTCAAATCCCAACTCAACTTCCACCTCAGCTCCTACCTCAGATTCCCCCTATGTTCCCTCCTGTCGATCATGCAGAAGGAGGAGATGAAAACCAACCTCATGCCTCAGCTCATAACTCAACTTCCACTGCCAATCAAGACATAGTGGCAGCTCAGCTTGCTGCCATGCAGCAACAGTTTGGTGTTTTTCAGTTGGTGCTGGCTCAGCTTTTAGTTAGAAATAACCCTGGTGATCCCCTCATCAACTTACTAAACCCTGCTCAACAACCCTCAGCTCCACCACAGAATCCTCAACCGGTTCAACCTGCTCCCGTTATTAGCGAATCTCAGGCTCAATCCCATATCGCACCAGCTCAACAACCCATCCCTGATGATGTTACTCGTCGCCTCGATAGTCTGGAGAAGCTAGTAGCCGAACACCGAGGTGCTCCACCCCCACACCATGCTACTGATTCTATACCTCACCCTCTGAACACCAACATTACACTGGAACCCTATCCTGCTGGCTTCAGAATACCACAATTGGAGACTTATGATGGGACGAAGGATCCCGATGATCATCTGCATGCTTTCTACTCTTGTATGCAAGCTCAGAACGCCTCTGACGCGTTGATGTGCAAGATCTTCCCCTCTACTCTCCGAGGTAATGCCCGAACTTGGTATTACAGTTTACCTCCGAGGTCAATTAGTTCGTATACAGAAATGGCATCTGCCTTTGCCACTAAGTTTTCCAGTAGAAGGTTGATTAGGAAAACTACTTCTGAGTTGATGCGGGTTAAACAGAGAGATGGAGAATCATTGAAGAACTATATGAGCAGGTTTAATGATGCAGTTTTAGAGGTTAGTTCTTTTGATCAAGCTGTGGGGATTACCGCTGTGATCTCCTGTCTTAAGCATGACAGGTTCAGAGATAGTTTGATCAAACATGCTGCCACCACCTTTAGCGAGGTAAACGACAGGTCTCTAAAATTTATAACTGCTGAGGAATACGCCCTGGCGCAAAATCCTCCTCCCACTAAGAACCAGAACCCAGAATGGAGAGATGACAATCCGAGCCGGAAAAGGATAATCGGGGTCCGATACTGACCTCCTCGCCGAGATTCGGAAGGCCGAACTCAACTCCCCCGCAACAATCTGCAGGTAAACCTCCAGTTAACTGGACTCCCTTTAATCTGCCGAGGTCACAAATCTTTATGCAGATTAAGAATAAGATGGATTTACGGCGTCCTGGCCTAATGAAAGCTGCTGCTGCTAGTCGAGACCACACCAGATATTGTGATTTTCATCAAGATCACGGCCATACTACAGAGCAGTGCAACAGCTTAAAATTCGAACTGGAAAGTTTAGCTCAGAAGGGAATGCTGAATGAGTATGTTCAGAGAGCTGAACAGCCGAGGTTTGTCAGAGAGCAGAGGCCGCACCCTCAAGGAGTCCGCAATCCCCCAAATAGACAAGGTGTGGGATATCAGCAAGCCCCACCTCCGCTCCCACCACCGGCTAGAATCATACACATGATTACGAGAGGCCTTAAAGTAGGTGAATTGAGCTCTAAGCAGCGAAAGCTATATGTTAAAGAGGTTAAACATCAAAACCGAGCTCAGAAGCGGAAGATTGACGATGCTGAATGGAAGAATCAACCCCTCATTTTCACATCTGCTGACCTCGACATAGTTGTTACACCCCACAATGATCCTCTGGTCACTTCTATCATGATCAATAACTGTGAAGTACAACGTGTCCTTGTTGACACCGGGAGTGCACCAGACATCATGTATTTCCACTGTTTTGAGAGTCTGGGACTAGATCCAGCATTGTTGCAGAAGTATGATGGTCCTATCTATGGTTTCAACAACCAACCTGTTCCGGTAGAAGGAGTTCTTACCCTCCATGTGGCTTTTGGGAGTGGTAGGACCTATGTAACCCCTTCAGTCCGGTTCCTCGTCGTCAAGATGGCCCTTTCTTTCAACATTGTTATTGGCCGACCCACATTGACCAAAATCCGAGCTGTGGTTTCCCAATCTCACCTCTGTATGAAGTTCCCAACTCCTATGAGAATAGCAACACTGCGAGGAAACCAAGAGGTGGCCAGACATTGTTATATCACCTCGGTAACACAACCAACGAAGGGCAAAGATCAAACATCCGAGGTCATTCCCCAGCAGATTCTTGATAATCAACAGGTTATGGGTGTAGAGATCGTCGATAATCGACCGGAAGATGAAACCAGAGCTACTCCGGTCGAAGATGTTGAAGAAGTGCTCGTTGATGACAGAGATCCGAGCCGAAAAATGCAAATCGAAACTAGATTGAACCCGGAGGAGAGAGCAGAACTGATAGCTTTTCTCCGAGCTAACAATGATGTATTTGCATGGACTTCGGCAGATATGCCAGGCATCCCAAAGTCAGTGACTCAACATAAGCTCAGCATCAATCCATTGAAGAAACCAGTAGCCCAGAAGCAGCGTCTCTTCGGGGGGGAGAGGCTTCAGGCTATTAAAGAAGAGGTAGAGAAACTCTTACAAGTTGGTTTTGTCAGGAAAGTTGATTACTACGAATGGGTGGCTAACCCAGTCCTGGTGAAGAAGGCAAACGGTAAATGGCGAATGTGTATCGATTACACAAATCTTAATGACGCCTGCCCTAAGGATTGCTATCCGATGCCGAGCATTGACAAATTAGTTGAAGCGGCTTCAGGCAATGAGAGGTTAAGCCTCTTGGATGCATATTCTGGGTATCACCAAGTGCCAATGGCTCCCGAAGATGAAGAGAAAACCTCGTTCTATGCTGGCGATGAAATTTATTGTTATGTCATGATGCCGTTCGGTTTAAAGAACGCAGGTGCTACTTATCAGAAAATGGTGACCATAGTCTTTCGAGCTCAGATTGGCAAGAATCTAGAGGTGTATGTGGATGACATTGTGGTAAAGAGTCTGAAAGCAGAAAACCATCTAGCCGACCTCGATGAAACCTTTAATAACCTCAGGAAGAACCGGATGCGGTTAAACCCGGCCAAGTGCATCTTTGGAGTAGAGTCTGGGAAGTTTCTAGGCTTCATGGTGTCCCGAAGAGGGATTGAGGTCAATCCAGAGAAGATCAGAGCAATTGCCGAGATGGAACCGCCGAAGTCAGTAAAAGATATACAGAGGTTGACTGGAAGGGTGGCAGCTCTGCATCGGTTTATCTCCAG